TAGCGATTGTCGTGGTACTGTTGACTCGGTCGAGCTCGTAATGACAATTTTTGAGATTTATCTTTAGTCTTCTGAGGGCGTTGGAGACAGAGGATACTGATAGGTTTCTCCCATCCTCTCTCAGGCGCATCTGCAGCTGCACCAACGTGTCCTCAGAGTGCCGTTCAACCGCTTCTTCGACACGCTGCAATACATTGGGAGTCAGCTTCTCCCTATTGTTTCCACCGCAGGTGCGCTGTGTAGTTGAGCCTTCTCGCTTGTAGGCATTAATGGTGTTCCTTGCCGTACTCGCTTTAACACCGGCGACTTCAGCGGCTTCCCGAGTAGTTTTGCCGTCGACCAGCACAAGTTTTTTGAGAATTTCTCTTTGCGCAAATGATGTCCGCCTGCAGTGCCGTCGCGTCGGACACCAGCTCTCCTGTTGTTCGTCACTCATTTTGGTCGTTTCGTGCGGCACGGAGCTAATAAAGCTAAGTTGGGTTGAGTGGAACCATTATCGTATGCTCGGCTCCAATAGTGGTACCGCTGCATAGGTCGGTCCACACACCCAGACAAAACACACGAATTCCTATGGGGGAGGGGGTGTAGGGGAAAATAGGTCACCGATTTTGACCGAGGCGAATGGCACTCATGTCAAGAGAAGGGCTTACACAATCACCCGCTACGTACGCAGTTCGGTTACATTATCGTGACCACAATGTGGCCCGAACATCGTGTAATCGGCCCACTCCTCAGTAGTTGATATGTTGCAACAATAGGCTATAGCTCTAGACTGGTTTTACTGTGGTCATTACAGCCTACGCTGATACGATAACGTGGCAGTTGCGAAAGCTAATAGAGAGACGGGCAAAGCTGGGACACCGCCTACCTGCTTCATCCGACATGGTCCCATTGACCGAATCGGACAAGGTTCTCTCTAATGAGAATAACGGTGCACATTGAGATTGCGCATCGCAATCCACTCACAAAATGATTGATACACAATTACGATGCGGAAGTGCGATTTTCCCATTGTCACACACCAACACAGGTTGATGCGTATGGGCACTGCACACCAACTAGGCGAATGTCAATGGGGAGAGGGGAGCGTAGTTCAGAACTTCGGTCGCTGCTCACGATCAAGCAAATGTTTTACAGTGTAGCCCGCTGCTTACACAATGCCAGTGTATTAGCGTCATCACAATGTATATGCTGAACATCATTCAGCAGTCTTACTGCTCGTTTCTTACCAACAAATTGGCGAGTTGCTACTTAGATTGCAACGTGTCCAATTTGTTTTGCAAAATGTCCACTTTGGTTTGCAAAATGTCCAGTTTGGTTTGCAAAATGTCCAGTTTGGTTCGCAAAATGTCCAATGTGGTTTGCAAAATGTCCACTTTGGTTTGCAAAATGTCCAGTTTGGTTTGAGAAATGTCCAGTTTAAAGTGAAAATGGTATATAAAACTAAGTTATTTGATGATCGGCGTGAAAAATGTGTATTTATCCTCGCGGATCCGGAAACGTAAGACTATAATACCAAGCAATGCATCCAGGCGGTCACATAGCTCTTCTGGTGTTCGACCCATTAACATGATATCATCCAGATATGCAGCGGCTCCAGAAACGCCCGCTAGCATATTATCCATCAACTGTTGGAAAATGGCTGGCGCCGTTTTTACACCAAAGGACAAGCGGTTGTATTGGAATATCGCACGATGTGTTGACCGTGAACAACTCCTTCGAGACTTCGTCAACATTCACTTGATGGTAGATATCAGAGAGATCAAGCTTAGCGAAGCAAAGTTGTGGAGAGATATCTTCCGGTACGTGTAATGGGTACCGGTGGTCGTCCAGCGCCGTGTTAAGGCCAGTTGAGAAGTCGGCACAGACGCATAATTTGCCATTTTCCTTCTTCACTGCGACAATTGGTGCTGCCCGTGTTGAGCAGTTGAAGGCTGTGATGACTCCGGCACATTCCAGTCAATCGAGTTATTGATCAACGGTTGACATGGCTGCATATGGTCTTTTAAACTTGAATATTGGTTTAGCACCTGGACGCAAGCTCAGCGTTGCCTAGAATTCGTACAATGGCCCAAGCCATTCTAAAAGCCAGAGGCAAATTTTCGCTTCAGCGAACGTGTCATGTCTTCGACGGACTTCGGTGATGGGTCCTGACTTGCTCGTACTCGATTGCAGATCTGATTCAAGGGTACCTCGAGGATTTGCAACTTTTCAATCAGTCGAGACAAAGAAGATTCAAATTCGGCCGGTGTGGAAAGTAGCACGTTCCCGACATTACCACATCTTTGGAAGCAACGTCGCAAGTAAGTTCGTCCACTAAGTTTAACACACCGCCGGATGCATTATGTGCAACTTTCTGAAACTTGACCATCTTCGGCCTCTTTATGTGATTCCATGTGTTCCTGGAAATAATCGTGATGTCCGAGGCTGTGTCAAATTGCAGTCTCATTGGGATCCCATTGATCAACACTCTGATAAATCGTCGTCTCGGTTTACACTCACTTTGGAATGCGGCAACTATGAACAGAGACTCTGCACAACCCTTCCTAGAATTCCTCTTCCGATAGGACTTCCTACTGATTTTCGACTGGACCTGACTGCATTATTCCTCCTAATGTCCATGCTTATGGCATATCTGACCAATATGACGTTTGAACGAACGAAAGCGCTCGAAATGCCGTTCGCGGCATGACCAGCATGCTGTGGGTGGTTTGTTCGTAGACCTCTTGAAGGGTTTTCTTGATCTGACTGTCCTGACATTTTTCACGAAGTGCACGGTACCTGGTGGTGCGAGACCATTTCGTTCGACCATGGCAGCATCGTGTTTTAGAGTGAGCAACCGTTAGCATTCGCTTACGAGAGCCTTCAGTGTCAGTTCAGGATTCTGATCCAGCTTAGCTAAAAGCCGCGTGCGGATCCCAGCATCACTGGGGGTATTGTAGAACGCTGACGAAAATGGTTTTCCTCTATCATCCCATCGGTTGCACTACTATTCGCTGCGATATGACGACGGTATCTCATCTCAAATGCTGGGGTGAACATTATGATCAAGGAACTTCGGTGTTGGGAATTTCGGAGCCCAAATACGGTCCCGTAGTGAAAACAGGACCGGGGCGTGTAATGTTTGACGTAGACGAAATTCAGCGAGCGTGTTACTACTTTACAAGTCTTGTGCTTTGGTATGACTGTAGGAACATTTCCTATTGAATTCAACAGTGAGTCTAGGGATTTCTGTTTTATATGTGCTAGTGCGCACATCAGTGATGGGTCAGCCTCGAAGTATTTTTCGGGTGAATTATTGGTAAAGAAAATTTGGTTAGCTTCAGGGATCACAAAAAAGTTCTGTCTATTCAACTTTTATGTGTAGTACGTGGCATAGCTACCAGTTTCGGCGGCTGACTGAATATTGTTATCCGAACCGTTGCCTTTAAGTGGTATGAACAAATTCCCCAGCCCCGTACATTAGAGACCCACCGGCTGTTTAGCCGAACCACCTCCTCGAGGTGTCAGCTGGGTGGTTCGGGTGTAACCTTTTCCAGCAAATAGTTCGGCGGCAGTGTTCTAGGACGTGTTGGGTTTTCTCCTAGCAATCGTTCTCCCTATAAAAACCACAAAGGTCCGTTTATCAACACTGAAACGTGACGAATGCCAAATGCCACAAAGTAAAGTCATTGCCCCACGGATATCTGGATAACTACATCCAATCCACGGACATTAATCGTCTATTCTTACATGGCTGACGCTGTCAGTCACAGAATCAACGGCACATTACAAACACAAGCTACCAAGCAAGACCTATGCACAGTTCCACATACATTCATGCACACATTTACTGTTATGACAAGCATGTTGCATTCTTGTAGATTTTTGTTCACCCTTTGTTTTCATAACACGATCATGCCTGTAAAGGCGTCCCTGGCATTACCGAGAATGAAAAGTTTATTTATTTATTTTTGTTGCTTTTTGCTTAGAGGATGCCGCCTTGAATTTGAGCACTGAAGTTTTTCTGTTGCAAACTACATACCACCGTTCCAATAACCTTGCTGACATCTACTTGTAATGAAACACAACCTCCAGTATCCTTGGGCCATATCCTTGGTAAGTTAGGTTATTTAGGAATTGACAGCTTGAAGTCATCTGCCAAGAAGAAAGTACCAATGCTTTTTAATGTGGACTGCTGCTTCGCATACATCATGTCCTCTAGCCTCGGAAACAGTGAATAAATATGATCCCAAATATACAATTACTCCGATATTCGCTCAAAATGTGTTACGCTTCTTTACACAATTCCCTCCCCGACCGAACACGATTGATTCAAAAGAAAAGCTGTAGACAGACAGATTGTTTCTTTTAACCTAATGAACTCAGTGCTAACTCTAAGAAGTCACCGTTCACTGTAGTGCTTTAAGGGTAGGGAACAAGATACTCTGGTCAACTTGACTTGGTTTGATAATAAATACAATTTGTTACAGGTGCAGTGAGTAGCATGCGTATTGCGCCACATGATTTTAGACGTTCTGAGGTAGATAAAACGACTGTATCCATTGCTCGAAAGCAACTATGAACTGTATAATGCATGGCAGCGGATTAACAAAAAGTGGCAAGACAAATGTCCGACAGACTATAAACCTTGTTAAAAGTGGCTATGTTTGCAAACCACTAAATAGACCTTAGATTAGCTTCCGTTCGACAACACAAATGCTGTTGTATGACCTAGAATTTGAAAAAAAACGTGCGCGTAAATTCCCATGACAACGTTAAAAAGATGACTTAGTCATATAACCTCAGCTGCACACGTTAAATTCAGAAGATGGAGCGCATGAATCGCGTTTCTGGGATTGGTGCCCGAGGATATTTGGATTGCAAATTTGGAGAACGTTCGAGCGCAGTGTGAAAGGAACCACATGGTAGATATACGTATGTCACAGCCAACAATTGGCATGGCCACGCAGTTGGTGGAGGCAGGCGTTCTGTCACGGAACAGCTAGTATTTTGCCCTTCCTGAAACAGACTCTTATGCATACTAAAGTGAGGAAAATAAGGTGTTTAATTATTTTGCATTTTTTACTTTTCTAACAGTTATAAAAAAGTATTCATAAATTTGCTGACCTACTGTGATTTCAATCGAACCACCGTCAAGAAATTCATCATGTGATTCGTTCAGGCGCGTGCCAGCGAAAGTTATGGAAAGCTTGCCTTCGTCAGCGCTTTCTGCATCAAGTAAATCCCACTTCAAATTGCTTCCAAAATAGCGAGAACATTCGGCATTGTCGGGTATTTTTGCAGAATTATTCAAGTCAAGATAATCACACACCTGAAATTCGACAAGTTGGTGTTTGACAATAGATTTCTTAAATTTTGACCAACTCACCTGGTATAACATTAATCCGTATGATGCTGTCGCTGCTTCCACAGTAATGGAGTTTCGAAAAGTATCGTTCTTAATGTAAGCGGTGCAGTTTACGTTAACTTTTGACCCTGAGTAACGAGAGTGAATCATAATAACAGCAGGTGGTCGGACATGTTTGTCGGCAGCAAAAATGTAATAAACCAAATCCGTTCCATTCGTTGCCTTGAACCAATGTACAACTTGGTTATCTTGGCAGTACTTCTCCACATGTGTAACCTGTTCTAATCGATAAGCTCGTATCTATGGCACGTACTTACCTTCCATGTTGCCGATATATATTGTAGATAACAGAGGTAGCATGTTAGAAGTAATAGACGCATTGTTCGGCTAACCTCTAAATAGATAAACCGTAATATTGGTTAAATGAATACAAAAGTATGGCGCATGTGATTCTATGCTGTACAACACAAATCTATCTTCGTAGCGTTTAACAGGCGACGTGATAAAACGTAATGGAACAATAAAACATTGGACTACTCCGTGTAAAAATAAAACGTAGCTCATGTAGTTCTATGGGTAGTGCATAGGCGTTAACACGTTTTACCTAACTAAACTGAGGCCTGTAACCCTATCATAACAGGCGGGCTAGTGACTGAGGTGCTTAAACCTATGCAAATCCATAAAGATGTTCAAATTGTTTAAAAAAGTACCTGGCCAAAGTTATTAACCCATTCATTCTTCAAATTTACAAGTAATGTATGAAAACTTTTGACTTATAGTGGCAGGTTGCAAACACAAAGGTCAAACATCAATGGTTCCCTGCATCCATTCTTGGAGAAATATAAATTTGTAATGATGCAAGCTGCTGGACAAATTTCGCTTCCACAAGATATTATGGCAGATGTTTTCAAACATTTGTCACTTTGATTTCGAATCATAGAGAGTAAGCAACTCGTTGTAAATTCCACAGTGAAAACTTGTGCTGGTAGCCACTTGTTCAGCAAAACATCTGCAAATTTAGCAGTAACTCACTAAGGGCAGCCACCGAGATATACCGTAGATTTTGATGGGGTCAACTAACATTTCATGATAGAAAAGGTGTAGGAGACTAGTTTATCGCACCGCACCTCGTACCACAAGCTTCATAAACTGGATGTGGGATGGAGAGCAACATGTTGGAACCGTTGCATCTTCTGTGCCTCGCACGGCTAGTCGGACAGTACGTAGAAAAGCATTAACAAGTATTGCTTTTATGATTGAAGAGGAGTGGCGGGTGAAGAGATCCTCAGACTTAGTACTGAAGCGAGGTTTGAGCGTACAACGCATTTGCAGCTCGTGACGATAAGCCTGTTGGTGTTGTTCACAGACATCAAATCGTCGAGTTAAAGGGCTCCAAGATCAATCACGGAAGATTCCCTTATTATCACCCTTCCCCAGGGTATTACTTAACAAGCTGACTAAGTTAACCTGGAGCTGGACTTATGCGGACCATGTGAAGAAGCATTTGATTTCCTAGTGTAGTAAACCTCGGTCGTCTACGGTAGTTTCTATAAATTTGTCTTCTGCAAAGGAGGTTACTGCGAGCAGAGAAGCTGATACAGGTCTTGTACATAGATCAGCAGCGCACCACGGAGTTTGCTACTGTTGGAGGAATGCCAGTAATTTAATGGCTGTCAAACTGTACACTCTAATTTTTTCTAGGGCCATAGGATGGTATGCTTTGTAGTGGACCGAAAAACACGCTCTTTCAGTAGTTTGCAACATTGGATTGTACGGTTGTTTTAACCTTCAAAACGTTCAGTTGTTTTAGTGACTGTACATCCGTCGACACAAATCGTTTTGGTGAGTACCTTGCTGCACCACTTCTCCCTTTGGTTGATTCGTTTCTTACTTTTGTAGCCTGCACAATATGTGCTGCGTTCAGTCGCCTCCAACTTCTATAATGTCCCGTATTTGACACGTCTCTTGCGTATTGTTGATTACCGACTAGTATCCCAGGCGCCACCCAACAGCTCCATTCAGTAAACAATACTACAGAAGCTCAGCCTGTAGAGAAGTATTTCATGATTTACCTTAAGAAGCGGTCCTCCGAAAAATCTCCAGACTAATTCGACACTTGCGCTTGCTTATCGTTCGTAAATATTCATGCTCAATGACTAGAAGCTTGTGTATACATGAGGAGTAAAGCACACAGCAATGATATGCCCGGGTCAAGAGATTCTTTAAATAAAGTAACTGTAGTAGACAAATCTGTACTATCTTCCTGGTACTCTCAGCCAAAATGCGTGTCAAACAAATCCGTCAAAATTTGTTTCTTAGAAGCGGTCAATAACTTTTGGAATAGACTTCACCACTGAGTGTCTTAAGATGTTCAATAATTGGACTTCGTATAATTACCTGTTAAAAATATCAATTAATTCAATCTAAATGAAGACCGATAACTACTTAAGAATAGGAGTGTAAGACCTGTCAGTCCCAGTGGGATTGATGCCATCACGGTTGGCGAGAATTTGATGCTTTCCTTCGAGGCCGAAATATATAATCCGAGGTTCGGCAGGGACGAAGTTGTTAAACAGGTACCGAATTCTGTGCTTTGCGAACGCAGAGATAAAGTGCTGATTAATGCAGTTGAACACCCACTGTTTGTTGATAGTAGCTATTTGTCTACTCTCTAGCAATGGTAGGTCACCTGTGAGCCACAATTATCGCTTTACGTAAACCCAGGTAGTCTTTAAGTTGGTTTTCTTAGCTCTTGCAATCCTTTCCTTGAGCTGCAGACGTTTGCTAATTCTAGCCTTGCATCAAAACTTTCTTTATCACTTGCAGGTTTTCTAGTGGTTAACAGATTCAGCAAAGAATAAATTCTGGGGGTCTGCATGGCTGCCATCCTGTTTACCATCCTACTAGTCGAGTCGGTGTGGTCTGTTTGGTCATAGGCTGCAACATTTCAGAGGCAACATAATAGAAGAAAACCAAGTTTATATCCTTTATAAGTGTCTAACATTACCCACAGATGAAGTTGGCTGGCTTTCCGAATTATCTCTACTTGATGCCAGTTGGGTGGTTCGGCTTTACCCCATCCCAGCGAAGTGTTCTGTAGCAGTGTTCCAGAACCTCATCGGTTCAGCCTGGCAAATGTTCTCCCTATAAAAATTTACAAGTACCTGCTGAACAACACAGCGAGGTGACCGCTGTGACCCGTCTCTATATAAAACCACTACCCCCTGCTGCAAATTTTTGGGGCATTATACTCCAGCAAATGAGCTGATACCATGGGGAGGTTTGCGTCCCTATTGGGTAACCGTCCAAACAAAAGACGTGTGAACTGTTTATTCAGTCATCGACTTCAAATAGGCGGGACTCCCTGATGTTGCCCCGTTGCCATGCAGGTAAGCTATTTAGCCAAAGGCACTGGTGGTGTCCCCTCTACTTCGACATGGGCAACAAAGTGTATCACCCCAACTGACAAAAACATGCGTTATTCATTTACTGTGTCGCGCTTCGGTGCCCTTGCTTTTGCTACGTGCACATCTTGACATGTAACCTGTTCATGTGTTGCCAATAACTTTTATCATTTAGCAGCTGGTTTTTGTTACTGTGGTTTTACTTCCACTAGTTTCGTCTACTCTCACAGAGCTCGCTCAGTGGCCTTCCTTCAGCCTCGGCCCAACTTCCGTCTGACCTGCTCTAGTGTAAGTACACACAAGTAGACTGGGCACCAGGCTGATTTTGCTCGCACCTTGGAAGCCCTTGCCATCAGTGTTTGCTGCTTTCCGAAACACGCTTTCATGATCACAGTACCGTGATTCGGTTGATATCTCCACCGACCACGGAAGCATATTACACGCACGTCTATCTGTTGACATGGAAGCAGCTGCAGCAAGTTTGGCAGAAGTTGGTGTAGTGTTAAGCGGTGAAGCTGAGGTCACAATGCTGCACTAATATTCGATTAACAGTCGACCGCATGCACCTCGACTTCGCGGACCGTGCATCATCAACAGCTGTCGTGTGAAGAGATACAACTTGTTTTTGATCACGGCTTACGCTTCTAATGACAGCAGTTGCGAATCGGTCAAGGAGGACTTCTATCGTGAGCTTCACCATCGCTTGAGCAGTGCTTTGAAATCCGGGATTTCGGGCCTTGCTAGGGATTCGCATGAACGAGTGGATAGTTTACTACCACACGAAAGTCACCTCAGTGGTCACCATGCGCTCGATGAGGGCCGCTCCGATAATAAAGACAGACTTCCCCAGTGTGTGAAAACAATCGTTTATTTCTATCGAACACCAGCTTCCGGTGTTCAAGAAGACGTACTGCTACTTGGCGACCCCTTTCTGCGTCGCTATCATGGTCACAGTTTGATCACATCAAAATCAGTTTCAGATAGTGGGATTGCAGGTCCATCTGGTCCACATGTGTTGGCGCATTCCACGCTGTTGTATGTACCATCATCTGCATAATTTTCGGTGGCTCGTCGAAAATAAAGCCTTGAAATGTAAGTATGCATAGGCTATCTACTCACTTGGTCTAGCAGAGCTATTAATTTTCCTAGTAAATGCACTCAGCTGCGACTCACCGCAAGAAATTGATGGACACTAGACCAGTATGCAGATGAGCTTGATCACTTCCGGGCAGTTAGTCCACAGTCTTATGCAGCCTCTATAAGTACACGGATGTTCACGTGCTTGCGCGATCAAGCTGACTGCCGCTGGCATATTCCAACGGGATCTACTTGTTAGAAAGTGCGCTGGTTTGTCAGTCGCAGCGCAAATGATGCCTGCGCGCTGATCTTAAAGCCTGATGGTCTCAGCGTCCTTTGGAAATAGAGGCCCTTTCAGGCAATATTCGCAAGCACCTCCAACTCATTCGAACCATTGGCCACTGAACATCTGGTGCCAGTGGGACTATTTGTGAACCGGACGGTTCATCGATTGCCAACCTACAGAAACAATTGGATCGATGGGTCAAATATTTTAATTTCCAGGTAACTTAGCCCACACCTTTCATTGGTATTTTTTCCGAACCCAGCGGCTCTCCCTGCGTCGTCACACTTGATCCAAGCTGCAAAGCGAAAGTTTGTCTTGCGATTGGATACTTGGAATGATTAAAGTCCGCCGGCTCAGACGGAATTCCTCCGGTGCGGTTAAAGTAGGGACGCGCTTTTAACATCCATCAGTTAACACCATTGTTCTTCAAAAGCCGGCCTGAAGAAAAGGTATCTACTTTTTGGGACGAATCTGTTATCCTCCCGAATTAAGAATGAGTGATCCACGGCATGTATCAAGCACTGAAGGATTATTTTCATTTTCATTGGCCCCAAACTATTGGGATCCATTCTATTCCGTAGACTAGCGCTGATTCGTGAAACCCAGGACCGGAAAGAACAAGCTGTC